TCGCTCCCGGTGTTCCCGGAGGACGCCGCGGGACCGGCAGTGCCCGGAGCTGTGCGGGGTCCGGCGGGAGGGGCTGGGGGGCTGCGCTGGCGGTCGGGGCTCGGTTCGGCTCCCGGGGCTGGCGGGGCTCGCTGTGGAGCGCTCCGTGCCCGTTCCGTGCGGGGGCTCGTGGGGAACTCCCCCTTCCTCGGGGAATGACCCGTCCTGCGGCTCCTGGAGGGGTGAGCTGAGCTCGGAACAGCGCGGGGCGGCTGGGATGGGCAAAGGCAGCCTCCTGCTGCTGCTGGAGCGCTTGGCAACCCAAAGAGGGAGGGAGATTTTCTCCCCTGCTTACGGAGCACGATACTGGGGCTGAATCGTTCCCAGGGAAGTGTCCGCTTGAACGAGGTGTTTCCCAGCGACATTCCAAGAGCCCTGAATGCTGGGCTTTGGGTCTTTGCGGCGACTGCTCTCTGGAAGCTCTTTGGAGAGAGGGCAGTCCGGCAGGTGTGCTGTCCCACACTCGGAGGGCAGGCGGCATCGCTTCCCTGTGCGCCCCCAGGGAGCCGCCACCTCTCCCCGGCTGGGAGAGGGGGAGCAGCGGGCGGAGGGAATCCCTCATCCCCCACCCCGGGGCTTCCGTGGAGAGCCGGTACTGCTGCTGCCGGTGCCCGGGTGCCCGTGGCCGGTGTCCCGGCGCTGCCGGATCCTGCCCGGCCGTTCCCTGTGGCGGAGCGGCCGCGGGGGCAGCGGGGCCAGCGGAGCCTCCGCGGCTCAGGGGCCGCGCGGCCGCGGGGGGAGCTGGAGGGGCCGGCGGCCCCCACGGGGAAGAACCCCCCTGCCCGCGGGCGTGCGCGCTTGAATCCCTGCATCGTCCCTTGGGAGCTGCAGCCCGGGCACGTGTGTTTTCCAAGGCATCGCTGGGGACAGGACAGGATTTGGGCAGGAGCTGCGTGGTGCCCTCAGCACTTGCCCTTGTGCAGTCCAAAGAAAAGGTGTTTTATTGCATTCCCAGGAACTGCTCCAACAGCTGTAGACTTCCCCCTACCTTCTCAGGGTAAGGATGAGGTGACAGATACAAAAGAAAACGAGCAAGGCATCAAATCCTGACTGCCCCGAGACACAGAACTGTGGCTAAGCAGAAATCTCTCCCCCACGGCCCCCTCACGCTCCACCCCCAGCCCACAGGGCAGCCGGGCAGCCCCGGTGCAGCTGATCCTGCAGTCTCTGGGAACTGCCACAATTCCTACGGGTACAACCATCCGCAGGGGAGGCTGTGGGGCGGCTTCAAGAGGCTCCCGCTGGCCAGACTCTGACCAACGAAGCCGGCTTTAGGCCAGGCCTGGCACTGTCCGGCCGTGGGCACGGGCAGCTTCTCATGAGCTCCAAGTTGGCCACCCCTGGAGCGCTGGCCAAGCGCCACGGCAGGGCCAAGGGTGGAGGGCACGGAACAGTGCTCGAGTCCTTGGAGTGCCCGAGCCTGAGGGCACCAAGAGCACTGTCCCTCCAGGGGGCCCAATCTCTCCCAAAATGCAGGGGGATCGTGCCTGTGTCCCAGACTGCTCCGGGGATCTGAGGGTCTTCCCGAGAACATCTCGGTGCTGGCGTGAAGGCCCTGGGATCTCTCGGAACCACAGGATAGCAGGCACAGAGTCCCTGCTGGGGGCCCATTTGGCTGCCTGAAAACAGCTCGGCAAAGAAGCCTCTAAGACTCAGCTGGGGAGTTTTAGAAGCCAGGCATTCCTTGCTTACAACACCCTGCAATGATCCCAGCCCACCGGGGGTCCTGGGAATCAGCTCCCACAGTGCACACAGAGGTGTCTCCGCTGCAGCTGATGGGAGGGCTCAGCATTACATGAGGGTTCATTTTGTTCCCTGCATTCCTGTTTCATATTCAGGACATTCCCCAACACCTGTTACCATACACACAAACTCTTATAAGGTCTCTGAGGGTCTCCATGGGGGGTCTCTGGTGGTCACCTGTGCCTGGAGCCCCCAAAGTTCTAAGTGACCACCTTATCAACTTCAAGACAATTCACCTGGTTGCAGAGTAACTTGGTGTTGCTTGGCTGCTGCCATTCTTTCTTTAGAAAAGGAGCAGAAAGCATTAATGCAGCACCAACAAAGTGAGACGAGCCTTTGCCTCATAACCCTCCACGGGGAAAGGTTTTGGAATTCCAAATAGACCCAGAGAGCAACAGCCCCTCAGCCCCACCACGGCTCCCCCCGGGGCTCCCCGGCAGGGAACGGGCTTACCCAGCCCCTGCAGCCCAGCCCAGTGCACACCCAAACACCGCCCAGCTCCCCCGTTCCACGGGCACAGAGCACACCGCGCTCTGCCCCCAGCCCAGCACAGCGGCATTCCCCAGACTGGCACAGCTCCAACTGATGCCATTAAACTCTCCATCTCCCAAATCAAGGTTCTCCTTTGCCATGGAGTTTTTGCCTGTCCCACAGTCCCGAGAGACCTCTGGCAGCTGCACTGCCCAAGAGCTGCTGTGGGACTGCTGGGGAATGCACCACTGGGAGCAAGACAGAAATAAATTAATTCAGAGCACTACCTTGAAAGATTAAAGGAAAAAACCCCATAACATTCCACGGCCTCCCTTTCTAAAGGGAACCGTGTGAGCTCCGTGTGAGCCGGGAAGCTCCAGGCTGTGGGAAAGCACCGGAGGGATGGAGGGAGCACGACGCTCCTCTCCTCGCTCCATCCCCAGTGCAGCCCCCAGGATACTCGGCACCACAGCTGGGGGAGGGCCCTGGGGATGCTTCGCTCCATCCCCATGGATCCTGCTGCCCCCCCAGCCCACCCAGAGCCGGAACCACCTCCGGAGGGGGAATGGAATGCCGGGTACAGATGCTCGGTTGGAAGGTGACACGTCCCCAGCAGCACCCAAATTCCTGCAACTCTGGGTTTGTTGCCTCCCAGCTCAGCAGATCCCCCTCTTCAGCATCCCTGGATGTTGTCCAGCAGCACCTGCCCAGGGGGTATGCGCCATAAAAATGCCCCCTCTCCTGAAAACACAGGAAACAGCAAACATCACCTTTGGGACGTGCCTGAGGAGGATTTCTTGACTTCCCTTGAGAAACCAACATAGAAAACAGGCCAAAAACTTGTGCAATTATTTAAAATGAACACTCAAACTCAGGCTCAGGCCAAGGGCAAAAGGCAGCTTCAGCATTCCACAGAGGAACAGGAGAGCAGCTCAGGAAGTATAAATGTCCCAAACACATCCCAAAATTACAGATCCAGAGACAGGGATCAGCTTCAGCCCCTCAACATTTAGTTTTCCATTTATAAATACCAATTTTTTATTGTTTTAAGCAAATACAGTTAATTGCACACGTGCCTGGTTGACAGGGGAAGAGACCAGCACCAATATTTTAGAGTTTAATTTGGAAAGGGGGGGGGGGGGCGAAAAACTGCCAAACCTATAAATCAGGAAGTTTTCACACTCAAGTTTGCTGTATGTTTCCCTTCCAATGTTATTTTCAGGAAGTAACAAAACCATCACACGTGTGAGGGACTAAAAAGGTGATTTAAGGAATGTTTTACTCTCACACTTTCTTACTTGACCCCTCACAACCACCACAGCACGGAACAGATGCTCAAAAATCAGTGTCCAGTAGCTGCCATTGGAATTTTAAGGGGTACCGAGGAAGCCTTGATAAATATTTGGGTAATTTCTCAAGACAGGTTTTCCTTCTCCATCTGTGTCATTGTCCAGCACAAAATTCCCTGTTCCTGCTTGGTCACCAGGAGCTGCCAGAGGAAATGTCAGTCGTTGGCTTCACCTCCTCTGTGTCGCCTCATTAGTCCAGAGGTTAATTAATTGGAAGGTAATAAATCTGCTTAGTGGTAGAAGAAGATCACAGCGAAGTATCAGCTCTGCCTGCTCCTGGAACCTGATCCCTGATCAGTAACTACTCTCCAAATTCAGTTATTCCAGCTAAACCACAGCAGCACAATTTGGAGGGACAGAAGTTTCCAGCCTCGTGGGAGGAAATCTTGAAGTTTAAAATCTTATTTCTCACTT